CTACCTGTCGCTGGCGGATCTCCTCTCGGCCCTCTCCTACTTCTACGGGGTGCTGCAGGACTTCGACAAGACCTCCTGGGACTGCGTGCTGCAGGGTGCCCTCTCCACCTTCTCCAACACCAGCTCCTTCTTCTGGACCATGGCCATTGCCCTTTACCTCTATATCACCATAGTGAGGGGCTCGCCCACAGGCACGGGCTTGCTCTGCGGCTTCCATGTCGTGAGGGGGGTCCCGTCGGCTCTTCCCGCCCGAGGGGTGGACCCCGCGGCCACCGCTGCTCCCCGAGGCACGCTCTGCTCCGCGCTGCAGCACTCGGATGGTTGCTGGAGTCACCTGCTCTTTTCTTAAGGGCAGCGTGCCCTTCTCGAGTTCCTTTTAAATAAGGATTTTGCCGTCTTTTAACTAACCGGCCCTGCTTATTCCCCTCCTCCAAAGAGAAGGAATAGAGATGTGGAAAACCTAAAATTCTTTACTTAAGGTCCCGCAGAAAAATCTCTGGTAAGAGCTGATGACTGAAAATCCTGGCTTCTGCTCTGACATCCTAGACATAATGCCATGAAGCTTGTGCTTGCAATACCCGTCTGCTGGTGTTGCCAAAACTCCTGCATTTGAGCTGTTTCCTCAGATTCTTGGCTGCCTGCTGTCAGCCTGGTCTGTAGATCCTTCCCCTTTCCCCAGGCAGGTTGCTGAAATCCAATCCGTGCAGGAGAATGCAGCCTACAAGTGAGGAGGCTGCTGGAAGAGCCCTGGGAAGGTTGTTCTGGCATGTCCGACTGAAAACACAACAGACCACGGTGTGGCTGGCCGTCTCAGTTTTGCTATTTAGAGAGCCCATTTTCCACATCGTGTCTAGCAAAAGCTTTCATTATGCAATTGGAGCTTGTGGAATCATGTGCTACCTCCACGCTGAGCAAAACAGTGATCCCTTAGTCCTCTGTGCTGCCCAGCTTTTGGAATAAATTATAAGAGGAATGACCTGGTTTGGAAAAAAAGGCATCAGACCAAGTACTGAATTTTCTTTGGTTTTTCTTTTGAATTTTCTTTAGTCAAATATTTGCCAACTTTTCAAACAGCATCATTTGGGGTATGACTGAATTAGTTACTAAGTCCAGGTAAGGGTGAGCCAGAGAAAGACACTGAGGTTAATTGTGAGTCAGGGAGGAACTTCAGTTCCTGCCCTACCTGTTCTAGGTGATGCTTGACAGTGAGGTCTGTGTGTGAGGAAGCCTCAGGTGACTGCACATGCATCTGGGTACAACAGGCTGTGGGAGTTCAAATAAGATGCAGTGAGGCAGTGGAGTTTATTTCATTTCAAGTGAGTAGAAAATGGTACTATAAAAATCATGGAGAGGAGGGAAGAGTGGAAGGAAAGAGGCAGATGTGCTGAAATAATGTTGGCTGCAATCTGTGCACGGGTTTAAAACTGCAAGTGGCCTCAAAGATTGCTCTAACCCTGTGACAGAGAGGAAGGGAGTGTTGAAACTGAACTTCCTCTGGGGGAATTTGCTAGGTTTATTTTCAGGTCTTTGCAGTAAAAATAAAATGGCATCTTCTGGTCTTGGTATTGATCAGCTTCACTACTTAGTAGGCAGTATAGAAGGCTTCATCAAAGACCTATTGCAGGTTCTGCTTTGTGAACGTCTCCCATCCTGTGTGGAGCCACTGTTTAAAGCTTCTTCCTGCTCTATGATCTGTGTGAAAAGCCAGAGAAAACAAGTGAGGACCTGTTCTCTGCCCATCCCCTTGTGACACACCTTCCTTTTCTTTCCCTGCACTTTTATCATTGCTTGAGAACTCAATCATAAAATAAAATTCTGGGCATAAAGCTTGGAGATGGCTCCTTCTTAAACTTCTCAGTGCTTCAAAGTCCCCCTGTGGTGCTGTTAGCCTAGAAAACTTTTAGTACCAGGCAGATAGGAACTGCTACTACTGATACAAAAAGATACAAGCACCTACACTAATTGCAGAAAGCAGATGAGGGCAAAAGGAAAGGTGACAGAAAGTGAATGATGTTTTCAGGATTTAAAGGTAATTTTTCAGTATTTTTTTCTAGGCAAAAACCTGTGGGTTTTGTTCCCCTCTTGGTTTGATAGGTTCCTAATGCTGTCATGCAGCAACCATGGTGTGAAAAGTCTTTGAGAGACACTCAGGAAAGCAGGATGGAGTTTTTGTCAGGCATGTTCCCTGTTCTTCACAAACAGTTACTCATAAAGAGCAAGTGTTGGTCAAGATGACTTGAATACCTTTTTAATGTTGAGTATAATCAGAAGCTGTTCTTTAGCTGAGTGGAGCTGCCTAAATATATGTTGGAAGTTAGTACCTGAAATTTTGTTTTCATGGAAATTAGGATGTCACACTGGATCAAACCTGTCAAACAGGTTTGTTCCTTATTGATTCATGTGGTAACACATCCACCTCTTTGCTAGACTAGAAAACTACAGGCTTTGTTTTGAAACTTGTTGAGCTCAGATGAGCTTTGAAAACAAGCTTGCAGTTACCTTTGAAAATATTTATGTAGTTGTAAGGTGTAAGTTCTGGCATCCAGAGCATACATTTCCAGGCTACCTCCCTTGTTCTGCTTTTCTAAATACTAAGTATCAATTAGGTGGGTTATGTCATCTTCGCTGTGAGTAGTTGATCCAAACTCAGGGTGAGGAATGGACCAAACCCACCTTGGGATTGTTTCTTGCTTTGCTTTTGATAACAATTGCTGTCAACCTCTGCAGTGCTTGTGTTTCATGACCAGGCTAAGCAGATGGACATAAGTATATAGATGCTTATTTATATATACAAGTAAAATGTGTGTGTATTCTTATATCTGCACTTAAAAACATGTATGCATGTCCATGGAGTATCTGGGGATTCTTTCATGTCCTGCATTGCACATCTGAATCCCTAAAACACTGATTCACGTGTGACTGTGACAGTCCCAGTATAAATTTTCAAAACTGGGCTTAAGTCTCTAAGCTGCCTGTGAAGTGCAGGGATATCTCCAAACTTGCTGTGGCTTTATCATTTAGTTTATGAAAGGCTATAGGTCAGGCCAGCTGAAGTGTGAGCTGTTAAATTCTTACATGCTTTTCTGGGAGGAGTCTCTGCTGGGTCTGTACCACTGCAGACTGCTTAGTGTTTGAGTGTGGGGGCAGGGGGGGTAAAGGTGAACATTAAATTGGAGAAGACTTAGTCTGGGGTTCTGCTTGCAATGTGTGCTCAGAGCTCTTCTCTGAAATCAGCTGGTATATCCAGAAGATTGATTTTTCTTTCTTTACAGAGTAAAAATTCCTGTCCCTAGAAGGAATTTCCTGCAGGCTTGCTGGAAGGAGGGCTTGTTGTCTAACCTGTGCAGGCAGGTGACTGCAAATCTTCCCTGCTTCTAAGAGCATCTGGGGAAAAGGAAAAGCAGCTGTGCACTGTAAATCAGAAAAGGGGATTGCTGAGGACAAGAAAACCAATACAGCCTGAGCTCCCAGGTGCTGTAGCTCAAGGGTCCTTGTCTTACCTTGTAGAAATGCAGCAGTGGTGTTAATGTGGAAATATGTCCTGGGTTGTATGTGTTTTTGTGAGTAGATTGCCAGGGTATATGAGGGAGATAAGTGCTGTTGCATCTGCCTTGGGGGTGGGATTGCCAGCCTTGCTACAGAGGTGCCAGCAGTCATCTTTCCCTTCTCTCATGCTGATTTTATTTAGATCCAAATGTGCTTTTGAGAGGCACAGCCTGCAGAACTGTACAGTCTTTGGGGCTCACAGTAAAATTTGTTATCTTGGACCTTTTTATTCCAGTCTTTACATACACATTGGGAGTATAATACTCTGATTCTTCTGTTACTCTGCTCTTCTAGATGGGTATAAAGCACTGATATTTTCCAGTCCTTGGGAATCTGTCATTGAGGGGTTCTTAAGAATAATGAAATCACCAGTCTCAGTTCTCCTTCCCAGTTTTCTAAAATGGACCTGAAGAAGTTCACTGAAATGTCTGACTACTTTCTAGTTGCTAACTTCACTTTGAGTTGGTAATCCTTTGTCCTTGGTGTGTGTTGTAAAAGCCATCTGATGTCCATACACTGTTTCAGTGACAACTGTCTGTTATGTGGCAGTTTTCTTCCACATTCTTCCTTTTACTAGTTAGATACTTGAAGATTTTTTAAGTCCCTGGCCTAGTGGTCAGTTATTTCCTAATGTGGCCTCTCTATTTTTTCTGTACGTACTTGGGCTGTTCTCTTTTTGCAGTCACACATATTAATTTGACCTGGTTTTGTCTTCTCATGTAATTCTTTCAGTTTCAGGTCACTGTGGAGATCATTATTTAGGCAAATTAGTTTCTTAATACACTTCCTTCTTGGTGCTGTACTTATTTGTGCTTGTGTGCCTTAACATGGTTTCTTTAAGGAAGTGCCAGTTCTCTTGAATTCGTTACCTTGGTGGTCAGTTTTTCCAAGTGCACTGAAATGTGAATGTTTTTTGCATCTGTAACCCTTGTTTTCAGCTCACCAGTTTTACCAGAAGGAGTCTTGAGTTGGGTAGAAACATCCATAGTGGTGGCAATGCATGGAATGCTTTTAGAAAGCCTGCTCTGATAATAGCACAGGGAGGGCTTCCTGCAGCAGAACTGTCCTTAAATAACAGCACTTGGATTAGCACTGGCTGTTCTGAACTGAACATTGAAACAAGATGTTCTCAACATGCTAAAAGGTTGACTCTGAATTTTTTTTTTTACAGCATTATATTGACATTTGGTTGGTTTTGTGAGTAGGTGAACCCAGGCATTGAGTGGGAAATGGGATAGTTTTGAAACCTAATATGGGATTATCTCTTGATTTTTCAGTTGTGCTGTGGAATTTCAGATAATCTGGTTTAGGCAACTGCTGGTTGCCTATATAGTCTGATGCACGTGAAACTGATTTTAGGAAGAAGATCCTTTTCATGTTCTGCAGCTGCCCTGGGCTGTCAGTGAAAGATTAGTGTGAACCAGGGAGAGATTGAGAGCAGTACAGTAATGGCTTTGTTTTCTTTGCATCTGGAGAGACCAGGAGGGTTATGCTGGAAACTCAATCTGAGTACTCTGAAGCATTTCTGTCATTTGCTGAAGAACTGTCCCTTGTCCCTCTGAAGGCCCCACAGACCCTTCCTCTGAGGATGAATCTGGGAAGGGGAGGTGATGTGTTTGGTTGAGTTCAGGGCAGCTTTTCTGTTGTGGAGTGACTTGTACATCACAGGCAGGGGACTGCCTGTCAAGTCCTGGCTATCAGCAGCACCCAGAAAGGGGCTGAGGGGTTTTACATTTGGGCTCATGAAATCTTTCAGTTCTGCCTCGTGTTTTTTTGTGGGCAGCTCAAGTTGCTGAGCAACTTAATTTGTGTGTCACCATAGCTATTTTTCTTCTAAATGCTTCCCTATATTTGCCTCTGATGTCAAGAGAGAAGCAAAAGTCAAAACACAGCTCCAAATTAGGTGAATATTGCTCCTCTTTGCTTTCTTAGCTTTTTGCTCATAATGCCAGTGCTTTTCCTTGGGAAGAAGCTTGCCCATTGTCCTTCAGAAATTATCCTTTTGCTCCCAAAATCTTGACTACACCTCCATTTAAAAACAATCACAGATGGAATAAAACTGTGGACTTCACTGTGTGCTGGTCTTTTATATGCCAAGTGTCACTTACCAAATCCCACGTTCTGATTCCTGGCTTGTGTTCTGAAAGCTCTGAACCAGCCAACCTGCTCTTGAATGGCTGGGTCCTACACCCTGCTCACACTGTACCTGCTCTGGCCTTGTCAAATCCTCGACTTCACCTGTACCCAGGAGAGAATGGAGAAGGGGAATGGGGAAGTGGATTTGCAGTCCACATTCACATGCTGTCAGATAGTGTTTGTCACTTCCCTTCACCCTGATGCAGGAGTGTCGATGTTCTGGAAGATGTGTTGGCATCCTCTCTGATGAAGAATCTCTTGGTCTGTTGCTCATTTTCCCTGTGGTGTGGAGGGGCTTAAATTGAGCATGTTCTTGGTCCAACCTTGCTCTTCCTGTTCTTTCCTCAGCTGGGGAGTGCCCCTTGGCATTACTGTGGCAGCCGTTGCTCTGAAGAAGATTGGTTATGATGCCTCCAATGTTTCTGTGGGCTGGTGTTGGGTCAACTTGGATGCAGAGGATCGGGTCTTGTGGATGTTGTTAACGGGGAAAGTTTGGGAGATCCTGGCCTATGTCACTTTGCCAGTGCTCTACATCCTCATCAAGAAGCACATTAACAGAGCGGTGAGTATCTTGCTGCTCTCAGCTTAGGCTGCAGACTGGCTGTGTGATTATATCCTCCCATGCTCTGAAGGTTTAGCAGCTATAGAGGCAGGAATTGTTTCAAACAGTGCTAAAATGTGCTGAGCTGAAACGTACCCAGGGAGAAGCAGGACACCCTGTCGAGCAGCCTGCAGCATCATCACTCCCTCACTTAGCACAAGAGACTCAAAGCCTTTTGGAAACTGAGGAGAGTTAGGGGATGTGCCTGAGTGAGATGTAAATCCTACAGGAAGAACTGGAACAGGATGTGAAGGACAAAATTCAGTTTTAATCAGTCTTCCACAGTTCCACTTGAACCAAGCCTGAGACTGGTGTCTGGACTTGCCCAGCCTCAGTCATTGTAGGCTCTCTGATGATCATTTGCATTTATAAATACTTGCTTCAATCTAGCAGCAGAAAGCCCCATTTGGGGCACTATATGCATACATGAGGCACCATTTGCATACACAGTATGGGAAGATACCCTGTCCTAGGAGGAGTTCAGAACTCAGAGGCTTATTTGCTGCTGTTCTTTGTGAACACAAAGAATCCTGGCATCTAGGACAATATTTGCATAATGGAGAAATCTACATTGAGTGGCAGAAGGAAACATCACCTAGAGATTCCTTTTTTAATACAAGTTGTATTAGGGGGAAAAAACTCCACATCTGTGTCCTAGAAAATGCTGCCAGTGCAATCCTGCTTGCTGTGGTGTAGCCATGGCAGCTCTAGCTCAGGGTAAGCACAAATCTGGTTAGGGAAGGATCCTGCAGACAAGCTGGGAGAAGAACACAGTTTTAAACAGTCCTAAGGGTCCTGGGAAAGGGGGACTGGGAAGGGTTGGCCTGTCACCATCACCTGATATGAATCAGACAGGACGCTGTGTTCCAGCAGCTGCCAAAGATAGTGTGACTGCCTGGAAACCAGACCCCCACCTGGCCAGGCTCCTGCCCTCTGCCTCTGCCAGGGATTCCTGGGCACTCAGCCTTCTGGTCTCCACTCCCAGCCCTCACCCTCTGACAGGAGCAGTGCTGGGGGCAGGCAACTGTTACTGCTCTCATCCTTGGGGGTCTGAGGGCTGGAGCATCTCTCTTCTCATCACTAGGGGTTTTGCCAAGCCTCATAGCTTGCTCACTAAGCCTCGTTACTGGCAGGAGGTCTCCCGCTTCCATGGGAAGCAGTAGGCAACCAGGGCTGGGTTTGAGCTGGATTAATGTGGGTTTTGCAGTAGTGGCTCCTGCACTGTCTGAGGAGCGGGAGAAGTTCTGAAAGTAGCTGATGTGGGGGCCATGCAGGGTGTGTACTAGGGGCTTTCCACATGGAAAAGCCTGTGGGAATGGATGGGACCCTGCAGCTGAAGCCCTCGGTGGGGTTTGACTCGGGCCATGGTGCAGTGTTGTCATACAGCTCTGTTCTGGAGGAAGTAAGGTGTCAGCACTGGGAGTACTGGAGTGAAGGACAAGACCATGCCTCAAAGCTGTGCCTGCTCTGCAGCCCTGGTGGTAGGAGGAATAGTGTTCTGCAGGTCAGTTCATCTGAGAATTCATCACTTTGCTCCCGTGAACATCCTGCTGTTCAGCACCATGTGTCCAGCAGCTGCTGTGTGCTGTGGTGACCTGCTGTCCCTCAGCCAGGAGTCTGAGTGCATCCACTGCCTTAGGAAGGTCTCGTGGAGCTTACACCTCCAACCACCCCCACACGGGGCACAGATCCCTTATTTTTTTTCTACATGTGCTGCCATAGAGAGGTTTGTTACCTCATCCAAATCCGTGGAATGTCATTGCTGACAGTATATAGTCAAAATCAGGCAGCAGGTTCTACACAAACACACTGAAGGACTGGTTCAGAGGGGTCCAAGTTCTTTGTGGAACTTGCTGGCTGTGGTAAAAGCCAAAAGTTTGAATAACTTGAAGGATGAACAGGACTTCTCTCCATATATATATTTATGAAGACATCTTCCCAGGGGTAAATCCTCAGCCTTGCATTTACCAAGTGGGTAAAGCCAGCAGCAATGGGGCCAGGCCACCAGCCCAGCAAAACTGTTTTGAGGAACACCAGGGGGATGGGTTTTTTTACATGATTATGACCTAATTTCTGGGCAACTATATAGGAATGTTTGCTGATACAAAGCTGTAGTGGGACTCTGATCAGGGCCCTATTCTTTACCTGCCCCTCCTTACCTTCAGC